CCCTGTGCCATGGGGGCTGTTCTTGGGACAGCCCACTGAAACCAGCCTCAGTCTCCAGGGTGGGACAGAAGCCACACTAGTCAAGTGTCCGGGTTCACGAGGTCATCTTTGGCAAGTGTGTGGAGGATTCAGGAGCCTGGGACTCAGGGTCCCGGCCTGCCCAGGGCAGAGAGACCATTCTCGAGGCTGCTTGGAAACGCTCCCCTGCCCCTCTGGAAAGGTGAGGATGGCCTGGGGGGCAGAGGCTCAGACTGGCCCCCCTCACCCACAGGGCGTCCCATGGGCAGTGAGGTAGGCAGGGAAGGGAAGCCCAAACATTTTACAGAGGCACAGCTGGAGGGCCCAGCTGCTTCGTGCAGACAGGCTCAGGAAGGGACACTGCTTAAGGTCACTTGCCCCTTGGGTTGGGCTGCCCTGCGCAATGGCGTTTGCATGTGACTCAGAAATGTGGGACACGGCAACCCCTTCTTGAGCCAGAGGTCCCAGCCCTGCCACACACAGCTGACCAGACGGTATTTCTTGAGTCTGCAGTAGATTTTCTCAGCGACCTCGAAGCTGAAACCCCAGCCCTCTCCCTGGTCCCCAGACTGTGGGCTTGTGACCTGGGCCTGCCCCAGCCCAAGTGGGGTGGGGTGGTGGTTGGAAGGTCAGGACCGACCAGGCAAAGGAAGGCCTGGAGCCTGCTGAAGACTCGCCCAGGGCGGCCCTTTGATGGCGAAGGAGGGGCCCAGCTGTGGGGCAGGGGGACCGGTTTCCTTTCAAAGGCATTCAGGAGTCAGGAGCAGTTTCAGCCATCAGATCATCGCGAACTGAGCGTTACAGCTGTCCACACAGTGTAGTTTCACACCGCCATCTTGGTGTCATCCACACCCACCCCTAGGGCCTCAGCATCCTTTCTCACACAACTCGGGACTCATCCTGCCTCCAGGCCTTTGCACAGGCCGTGCCATCTGCCAGACACTTCCTGCAGATGTCCACATGACACTGTCCCTCCCCTCCTTCAGGTTTTCGCTCAGATGTCACCTCTGCGAAGGATCCGGACGTCACACCCCGCACCATCCTCATCCCCTTTCCTGGCCCCAGATGGTTGTGTAGCACTTGCCACCTTCCACCAGACAATACAGCTACTAAACGTAACGTCTCGGTGTTGCTTATCTGCCCGCTCGGCTGTCAGCCCCGCCAGAGCGGGGCGGCCCATTGGCTCCTTTCTAATCAGGTGCTTAATAATGAAGAAATGAAGAATGAAGAAATGAATGAATGAGCGAATGCATTCAGTGCACAGAGCATGCCGACCTGGCAGGTGGTGGCCGTGGGTGGGATGGATGAGGGAGGCAGGTGCGGCCTGGCGCAGGGTGGAGCCGGTGGCTTGCGGAGGAGTCAAGACTTGGGGACAAGGCCCCCAAGACTCAGAGGGGTGGGGTCCCCACGGCCCAGGCCAGGTCCCAGGGGAGCAGTTGCCCATTGCCTCTTCCCCTGCCAGGTGTGGCGGGTCCTCAGGCCGGGCTGGTCCGCCTCCCGCTCTCGGCCGCCTGCCCGGGACTCTGGCGGCCTGCCCGGACTGACATCTTCCCAGCGCGAGCATCAAAGCTCCCCCTTCAGCTGGAACACACATCTGCCCGGGGTGGGCCGCAGCCTGGCACTGCTGCCCCTGCCTGCTTGGCCTCTTTCACTGGCCCTGCCTGCCCGCCCACCTGGCGTTGGGTCTGGCCGAGGGCACAGAGTGGCCCCTGGCCGCTGGACCCACCCGGTGGTGCTGTGGGAACCCCCTGGGCTCCAGGCGGAGGTGGCAGGCTCAGCCCACCCTTCAGTCACTGTTGAGCACCTGCCACGTGCAGGGACAAGCCGCATCTCCACCTGTACAGTACCGATCAGGTGGGTGGCAGGCTGGAGGGTCCCAGGAGGCCAGGGTCCACCCTTCTCGATGCCCCTTTTCTCCTCTCGTTCTCTCTCTGCACATCTCCATCTCCGTCACCCTCTTTATGACATCTCCCTCTTTGACCTGGGGGGACACAAAAGGCTGAGGACAGAGTCCTGGCCTGTGTCGCCATGTCACCCCTCACCACCCTAGCTGCAGCCCCAGAAGCTGAGCCTCAGGTGTCTTCCGGGGGCTGGGGGCTGGGGCAGAGGCATGCGGGGAGCGGTGTGGCTCCCTTGTGGGCTCCGGTGGGAAGGGGTGGAAGGCCCTGGGACACCCTGTGGCTCCAGACACGTCCCCGTTTTAAAGCTCATCAGCCTTACAGGAGACCATCCCCCACTGTGGTTTAGGGCACTCAGTGAGGGGGCCGCCAGCACCCTTGGGTAGCTCTTGCTACTGGCCCCACCCCCTTTCCCCCTGTGCTGGCGGTGGGGGAGGGGCGCCTGTGGGCCCGGAGACCGGCCCATTGACCCCGCTTTGCCCCTCCCCACACAGCACAGTCCCAAGGGTCTTTGTCCAGGGCTCTGGAGTCGACAAGCCTGGGCTCGGTGGTCTTTAAATTCAGCCTTTTATTATGGAGATTTTCAAACCTACAGAAAGGAAAGAGGCCAGCACGGGAGCGGCCCTGCCGGGCGCTCCGGACAGAGGCGAACCGGAGGCCCCTCGTCAAGGTCGCGCACAGACAGGCCCTGGTACCGCGGCTGGGCTCGGTGACCTTGAATGCGTCCTTCAGCTTCGCGGGCCTCAGTTTCCCCTTCTGGGACGAGTCCTGGTCGGGTCTCTCGGGTCCCGGGCCGTGTGACCTTGGGCTGTCCCCGACCTCGCGGCCTCAGTTTCCCGGAGCCGGGCTGCGGCGAGACGAGCCCCGCCCGGAGGGGGCGCGGGCAAAGGCCCCAGACAGCACCCACATTCCCAGTGGTCCTGTCCACATCCGCCCATGGATATGCCCCATGACATCCCAGCTTCGCTCCTTTCTAAAATCTCTGCATTTAGACTGCTGATGTTTGGCACCTATTGTCACATCCACATTCTGAGCAGTTGACCTGCAATTCCCCTTTCCTGTCATGTCTACTGCTGAGGTGGGCTCTCAACCACTGTGAATCCATGGAAGAATACTCCCCACCTGAAGTAGTGTGGGAGGGCTCCCTCTGGATCTGTTCTCTGCACGAGTGGGGACAAAGTGTTTACTAGGGAATCTTACATTACTCTAAATTGAGGAAAATTGTTAAGGCAGTCCACTTGAGAGAAGAATCCTAAATATCAATCAAGTTCTACTACAATCCTATAAAGACACTTACAAGCCTGGAGTCAAAATGGGAGAGGTGGCAATGGTTTTACAAGATGACTAACAGATTTTCGGTAGTTTAACCAGCCCTTTTGAAGGAAGGAGCAGCACAATATCAATATGAACGTACCTCTACAACAAATGAAGTTTCCCATCTCAAGGTCTCGAGCAGTGAGCGCTCCTGCAGCCGGGCGTCAACAAGTTCTCGCTGCGGATGTTCGGCAGCCAGAAGGCCGTGGAGCGCGAGCAGGAGCGCGTCAAGTCGGCGGGGGCCTGGATCATCCACCCGTACAGCGACTTCAGGTACCGCCGCCAGCAAGGGCCGGCCGGCGCGGAGGGGGCGCGGAGGGGGCGCGGAGGGCGCCCCCGCGCGTGACCTCGGGGCCCCTTGGTGACCTCGGGCGCGTCCGGGACCCGCCCCAGAATGACCTGGGCGCGCGAAGCTCCGCCTTTGGAGGGGCGCTGGGAGGCGCGCGCAGACTCCCGCCGTGACCCTGGCATCCCCCGCTCTACCGGGTGGACGCACACTACCGGCCGCGGGACCGGGGTCTGGGCGCGGAGGGACGGAGAGGACGAATAGAGGGGAACGTGGGCGCCGGGGAGGCGGCGGAGCGGAAGGGAGGAGGAAGGAAGGGCGCCCGCGAAGGACGCGCCCAGGAGAGGCTGGCGGAGGAAGGGTTAAGAGGACACCGCGCGCTCTCACGACCTCCACCTGCGCCCCGCGCCGCAAAGAGGCGCGTCCAGGTCCCCGGTCGGGTATCGTGCGAGGAGGGGGCGCTGAGCGCGCTGGGGTCCCAGGGTTGTGTCTTCGCTGAGCCGCTGGGTGGTGTGCACATGTGTCAGTGGGTGTGTAGATGTCGATACAGATTGAACCGGTTGATGGATGCGTGGAAAGGCTCGGGAGGCCGGGCGCAGGGTCACCGCTGCTGTGTATGTTTGCCGTTCCTGTTCCTGGGCGTGCGCTGTGTGGCCTGCTTGTGTGGACGGCGCGTATCACTGCAGACCGTGTGTGTGATCACCAGCATGTGACTGCGGGGGGCGGGGGTCCTGGGGGCCTGGGCCGAGTAATGGTGGGAGGCGTGTCCCTAGGGGTGTGTCTACGCGGTGGGCCAGTGGTATGTGTTGGGGAGAGACTAGGGTTGTGCGTGAGCCCGGGTGTGCACCGGTGGGCAGTAGGTGTGAGCTGTGTACATGGTGTGCGTGTGTGAGGTTATGTGTACGTGAATGGGGGCCGTGTGGGACGCGCCCAGGCCGCCCGGCCCGGCTCTCTAGGCGGGCGCGGCTTCAGCACCACGGACAGCAGCCCCGCGGCTGCCCGGAGCTGGCCAGCTCTCACCACCACGCTGCGGGTCTCCCCTCCCCAGGCCGGAATTCCCCCCACGTCGGGGTCTCCGCTTGACACCTGGGGGCAACTGAGGCCCAGGGGCACACAAGTCTGGGACAGAGGCTGGAAGAAAGTCCTGGGTTCCACCTCCTCACCCCTCAAACCTTCCCCTGGGAGATGAACACAGCCCTGACCAGTGTCTGGGGTTTTGAGGCCAGTGGAAGGCGGGGAACCCAGAGGCAGCCCAGATGGGTCGCATCGGGACGGTCCCCACCTGCATGGGGACTCAGCATTCCTCTGTAGCTGGTCCAGGCTGGGAGGGCTCAGGTCAGTGTCTCGGCTGTCGGGGTCAGTGAAATGGGGAGTTAGTAACAACTAACTGGGAAGGGACATGGGGGACATGGCAGGCAAGGAAGATGGTTGCAGAAAGGAACCAGCACCTCTGCCTGTAGCACACCCCCAGCCCCAGTGGTGGGTGGCCCTGAGTTTCCTCTTGGCTGCAGAAGAGGTGGTGTGGGGCTCCCCCCCATCCTGTGCCCCGTTTGAGCATAGCCACCTGTGGGACCCTGGGCAGGCCATGTGATCTGAGCATAGCCAGCCACCTGTGGGACCCTGGGCAGGCCATGTGATCTGAGCTGGGCAGATAAATGTAAAATGGGGTAAACAAGGTAGGGCGGCCTGGAGTTGGGACTTGGGGAGCCACAGTCAGATTGAAAAACTTCGGGTATTGCCAAGCTGGGGTGCAGCAGGACGTCTACCACCCCATGCTTTTGGACCCGCGCCCCTTCTAGACCCTTCTGATTCAAGAAGGAGACAGACCCCAAGCACAGGAGCGGAGCAGCGCTTCCTGAGCCCCTGCTGGGCCAGGGGCTGTGGGAGCACCTTCCGAATGTTGATTCACGCCAGCTGGGAGGTGGGTGCTGCAGCTGCCCACACTTACCCATGAAGGAGAGGGCACAGAGAGGTGAAGTCTCTTGCCCAAGGCCACACAGGTCATGCGGGTGGATCCGGGACTCACACCCGGGCAGGCTGAGCCCCGCGTCAATGCTCTTGACCTCTGGGCAGCCTAGGCTCTGGCCACGCCATGCCCAGGCCAAGAAGACGCGGAAGAAAAAGGCATTCTGGGCGGTGTGCAAGATATCGGGGGTGCCTGGGGGTGCACACTGGGGCCTTTGTTTATGTGTGTGTGTGTGCAGTGGTGGGGAGAAGCCTTTCTGGATCCCATTTTCTGCTCTTGCTTCCTCGTGTCCCCGAACTCGGTGGTATAAACACCTTCCCCGTCACCATCTGCATCTGCACGCTGCACGCTGCACCTGATTTAAAAAGAAAGCGGCTCCCGGCCAGCCCCCAGGTTCCCCGCCAAGCACTGCCCCGTCTCCGCTTCTTTGAGCTGTGACGTCCTTGCTCACCAGTGGAGCCCGCCCCGTGCAAACTGGCCCGGCACCGGCCTGGCGCTGAGAACATGGCAATTACTGTCTGGTGAACTGGAGCCGCCCTGGCTGTGCCTCGTCCTGCGTGGGCTCCGCGGGGCGCCCAGGGAGCAGGGGCCCTGGCAAAGGGTGCTGACCGTTTCAAACCGGTGGCTGGCCTCGAGCCATCTCTGGGCCTCCCTGCCTCGGTCTCCCCAGTTGCGAGGCAGTGGTGGTGGGGGGGTGGGGTGACTGGGCCTCGAACCTCACGCCTTTCTGCTTCCTTCCTGCCGAGTGACAAACCTCACACGAGCTGGTCCCTCGCCACACTGCACCGCCCCCCCCCACCCCCTAGTGCTTCTAATTGTCAACTCCCGGCTCACGCGGCGCCTCCCCTGGCCCCCCACTCAGCACATGCACCTCACTGCTTCCCGCTTGTTGTCATGTCTGCCGACCGCCCAGTCACTTGGAAGCGGCCTTTCCATTTAGTACTGCCTCAGCCCCCCGCCACGAGCATGAGGGTCAGTCGAGGTCCCCGTCACGGTGGGTGCCCAGGACGTCTCTGAACTCACCAAGGGACACGCGTGGGTGCTGGGCAGGTCTGGGGGAGTGCTGGCCTGGGGGGGGCGGAGTCCCCATCTCCCTAGAAAGAGTTTGGGCAAGTGGCTTCCTTTCCGCCGTTCCTCTTGTTCTAGTCTGTATGTGCCTCCGACTCGAGTCTCTGTCGCTGCTGCCGATTTCGGCTCATCGTTCCTAAACCGTGTGCCGCTGGAGGCCTGGCGCGCGAGGACAGAGAGCAGTGAGGCCTCTCCCCTGGCCCTCCGAGCAGTTTAGACAAAGCCGCGACCCGTGGACACTGACCTGTATCTGTGTCACCTGTTCTGCAGTCCCCGGGGGACTGGGGTGTTGGAGGGGGCTGGTTTGGAGAACCTGACGGGACCAGAGGCCCCATCCCCGGTCCCAGATGGCCTGGAGGATCAGCGGGAGAGCTGGATGGGGGCTCTGCAAATCCCTACATTAGCTCGTGGGAATAAACCCGACATCATCCAGAGTGAGGGTGCCAAGGGCCAGGGCCGCGGGTCCCCCTGGCTCCAGACCCAACATGAAGGCACTCGGAGTGGGGGGCGGGAGACAAACCCATTCCCCAGGTGGTAGGTTGGGGGCTGGGGGTGGCTGAGGCCTCCCTCCTCGCTCTGGGGGCTTCTTGCCAGGATTTTGAACCTCTGAACCCCGAATTCCCTGTTTTAAAACTTCATGTCCCCAAGCCTCCTGCTTCAGCACCCCAGAGCATGGGGTGGTTCAGGAGGATGCTTCAGGGGCCTTTCCTCAGCCACCCGCTTGCTCAGGCCAGATCCTGCCTCTCTCCCCCACCATCGGCAAACCCACCCCAAATCCAGCCAGCACAGGTCACCCCCTCTCCTGCCTGGACATTGCCCTCTGCCCTCTTTCTGGCCTTCCAGCTGCCAGCAGGCACATCTCAAGATACACGTGTCGGTCTTTAACCCCTCACTGGAAACCTGCCCTGGCTGTCGCGCACAGGGCCCAGCAGGGCGCAGGGCCCCCCA